GGAACTAAATCACGGTTGTGTTGTGATCGTTTAAGGGCATTACAATCCGTAACTAGCTTAAAAGGGACGCCAACTAAACAGAGCCGGCTTAAGGCAATTGAGCGCCTTAGGCACTTAAAAATTTGGCTCCTCTAACTAGATACTATACTTACTGGGCCCGGGGCAAATTTTAAAAAAGCTTATTAGAGCCACCCCCAAACTGTTAGCTTAAGGGCGCCCGAGCATTATAACCTAATTATTCCCTATGAATTAGAATACTTTTTATCATTAAAAAATAAATATAAAACATAAATAACATACAAACATAACAAATATAATGTAAATAAAAAGTGTTAGGACTTATAAGTGCGTTTTTCTGCAAGATGTCATTAGTGAGTATTTAAAAAAAATTAATTCAACTTTAATTTTCTGTATTTGTATGTTAGATTTACTGCTGGTTTATTGTAATTAGTTTAATATTAAAATTTCAGAAATACCTTAAAACAAACAGAAAAATTAACACTATCTAAATGTGGATTTAGCCAGCATTTAGTGTAACGTAATCTAACGTAACGTAATTTAATTTAAAAGCCAGGCTAAATCAACCTTAACTATCGAACACAGACTGCTATCACCAAACACGCAACACATAGAAGTGCCACTCTTGAATAAACGCGAAAACACCCAAGTCCTTCCGGCAGCAGTTTCCTCTAGTATCGCGTACCCGCTGGGGTGAGCAGCACATCACAGCGGGTACCCGATGCAAGAGGAATCCGTGTGCTTGGAGCATACGGGGGTTTTGAAATAGTTTAAAGAGTGCTAAAGATATGTTTAAACAGGGTAAAGTTTACAAATTAAATTATCTTTTAAGTTTTTGTTTGCAGTTTAACGTTAAGATTTATTATTATTTGTTAATTATACAGTTAATAATAAAATATCTTATTCTACTTTAAAACGCAGTGCCCTCGTAATCAAGCATGGTGATATAACACCTGATTAATTTTATATGAAATACATTTATGTATTTGGCATAAAAACAGAAGTGAATTTGCCGCACGCTTTAAAAATAATAAAAACAGTAAATAATTTTTTGTTTTTACAATTGTATATTGTTTATTTGTTTTATTTTTGGAAAAAATAAACATTTTGGTAACAATTTTTATTTTTTTTTAAGTTGCCTGGGGACAAGGCGCCTATTTCTACGTGGCGCCTAAGGCAATTGCCTTGCCTGCCTAATGGGTAATATGGCCCTGCAACTAAATAATGTCTAAAATGTTTAAGCGCATTAACTACCGCTAAAGTCTCAAGCTCGTACGAGTGATACCGCGATTCTGCATCGGTGGTTGCTTTGCTAAAGTATGCGACAACGCGCTTCTGACCGTCATAGATTTGAAATATAATCGCTCCAAAACCGTGGCTACTGGCGTCTGTGTGAAATTCAATGGGTAACTCGGGATTGAAAATGGCCAGCACCGGTTCGTCAGAGAGAATATCAATAATCTCGTTAAAGACAGCAGTGTGATCAGATGTCCATCTCCAAGGTTCATTGACCTTTGTCAAATTAGAAAGTAAACGTGTTTTTAGGGAGAAATCGGGTATAAATTTTCGAAAATATCCCGCGAGCCCGAGAAATTGGCGAACTTCTCTAACATTAGTCGGAAGTGATAAGGATTTAAGGGCTTGAGTTTTGGATGTACTTGGTCGTACACAGCCATTCGAAATTAATCTACCCAGATATTCTACTTCAGTTTGTAGAAAGTGGCATTTGTCTAAATTAACTGAAAAACCATGAGATCGAAGGGTTGTAAGGACTAGAGTAAGCCGAGAAATGCCTTCTTCGGGCGTTGCGGATGGAATGAGTACATCATCTAAATAGACGAGGGCAATACCCTTTTGAATTTCATTACGAAGGGCCATGTTGATGGCTCTTTGATAGATAGAGGGTGCATTGGCAAGACCAAAGGGCATTCGGAGGTACTCATACTGTCCGCCAGGTGTTACAAAGGCTAACTTTGGTACAGAATCCGAATGAACAGGGATCTGGTGGAAACCAGCTGCCATATCTAATGTAGTGAAGAATTTGCTAGTACTTAAGCGGTCAATCTGATCATCAATAAGAGGGAGTGGATAGCGGTCCCTGACTGTGATGCGATTGAAGGCGCGGAAATCCACCACCAAACGAGATTGACCATTCTTTTTGCGCACAAGTAAGCAAGGACTTGCGTAAGGAGAATTAGACGGTCGGATTATGCCATTCTGAATAAGATCATTGATAATATCCCGCAAAGTTTCGCGTTCAGCTGAAGATAACCGGTAGGGGCGATAATTAATTTCTTTATCAAAGGTGAGGTGAATTTTAAATTCACCCGTAGTTATGGGCTGGGGGATTTTATTGCCAGTAGTGAGTACATCTTGAAACTTTTCTAGAAGCAGCTGAAGGTCGCCTTCTTCTGAATTTTTAGGAGTATCGCAGTTTTTGTATTCTAGAGTAGGAATTGTATTATTATATGTCAATGTTACACCTGGCAACCGCAGAAAATCACAGCCAAGTATTAAATCGCAGCAAAGGGTTTCATAGGGTACAACATGAATTTTGAAAGGGATATCAACTTGTAACCGTCATTTTGACAGTTACCCATTGATTTTATTTTATTAGTTTTTTTTACATCTATAACGGTATAGATGTGAACTGTTAAGTGGTTTATTTTTAGTTTGACTAATTGTTAAGTATATTTTTAATAATGATATTTGTTTAGTTGCCTCTTTCCAAAAGAATTTAATTATTTTTATTATTTTGTTTATTGCCTGGTTTTGATAGTATGCAACCCAGAACACTCCCTATTTGTTTTTACTCTTCTCGACAACATTCAAAACATCTTGGCAACGTTGAATTTTTTTTGTTTAAATAATCTTCTACGCACTTAATAATTTTTACGTTGCTCTTTTCCGTTTTACCACTGAAGCCGTTTAGTTGGGAGTAAGCCTTGGCTTAAAATTTGGATAGAATTCCAAAAATGTGTAGTAATTCTCCTGGTTTAATGGCTCAGGGCCGGTGAAAGCTATAGGTGAGTTGATAACTTTTAAAATAGTGGTCGAATATTCCTAACCACGCGGGCTCCATTTTAGGTGTTCGTGATTTTCCAACGTACTTTTTGTTGACCTAGTCCTTGAATGGTCTTTAACTTGAAAACTCCTTAAAATAAGGGTAAGATAATGTCAACGGATTTTGTAGGGTGCTAAAGCGGGTTCGTATTTCTTTTTAGGGTTTTTAATATGGAGTATAGTTTCTGTGGATCTTCAGTTTTTTTATGTTGGAGTTTTTTTTTATGTCAGATTTGTTGTAAAGAGATGGTTTTTTACCCTGAACTTGTTTTGGATAATGGCAAGTTCTTACGTTATTGAAAAGCCATCCTGTATAATCTGACATGGTAGGAGACTTCAAATCAGAAGCCAACCCATTCGGAGACACAATCTACCAGGGCCCCAACTACGAACAGGTCGTACCAATTTTGAATATTAATGTTCACGTACACTACACTCCTTTTAATATATTATGTTTGTGTACTTTTAAGTTGAGAGTTCAAAATAGTTATTTTAAGTATATATTTTTTTAGCATCGATAATTATCAATGCTACAAAAAAAATATATTATAATATTTTGTCAGTTATCAGACTTTGGTTTTTGTAAACCATATATGGCCATATAAGGGTGCACCAAAATATTTATTATTACATGCAAAGTGATCATTTGAACATCGGTGAACAAATATAACTGATTTATATTTTTTTTAAACTTGACTTTTAATAACCACCCTCAGTCTTTAGTAAGATTGTGTCTGACTTACTTAGATTTTAACAACTGGCCATAATAAGACACTGGCGCCCAATTTTAATTTGCTTTTATTTAAATTTAGTAAATATATTTTGTAGACACGTAAGTATCAAAGAACAACATTTGCCCATCGACCCATCTCACCACTGTAAAGCTGCCGTTCGCCATAGCCCTCGAGTTGAGGTTACAAACTTTTGTTAGCTGTATATTAACAAAAATTACATGTGTAGACTGAAATAAATTATTTCCTACCCCTGATATCGAAATTGGCTCATAAATGAGGTTAGACGATAATTTTTGCGCTACACAATTTTTTATCAAAGACACCTGCGCACCTGTATCAAGTAATGCCTGGTGTATCTTATGATTAGTGTTTAAAAAAAAACGTTTTTTTTTAGTTGAAAAAATCCCCATTCACGTATGGTTAAAGGGCGCCTCGCTGTCCGCAATGCTGACTCAGCATATCGTATAGTCTATACGGTATTATAATAATAATAATAATAATAATAACGTTTATTTTCAAAAAACAACTACAGTTGTATAGAAAAGTAAAAAATGAAAATATGGCAATACCTTGAAAAAAATACAAAAAATATAAAAAATTATAACATTAAAATAAAAACTACAATAAGGAACAATATTTGTGTTCTTCTTACCAAACCAAATCCAAAATTATTTAACCAGATTATTAAACTGAATTATCATCCAAATATTCACCATAGCTATAATAAGCTTTTGAAATTAAAAGTTGTTTAATGGTGTACTTAAAGCTCCTTAAATTTAAATATCTAATATTTTTATTAAGTTTGTTATAAAATTTTGGTCCTAAAAACAAAATAGTTCTTTGAAATAGAAGGGTAAGACCTGCGGCTTCATAGGTTGATGCATAGTTGGTAGAAATGCCGAAAAGAGAAGGCTCAGGGCGAAAGCCAACAACGTTAAACAATTTGATTAAGAATATTACTAATGGTAAGTAAGAAACTATAATTAGTATTTAATATTCTTCTAGTGACAGAATGTGCCAAAAATTCTTTCCTCAGCAGTGACATTTCGAAAATCCTGTCACTTAATATATTTTGATGCAAAAACAAATTTGTTAACTAAAAAATGGATTAAAAATTCATTAGGTACATATTGGACGCAATTTTTTAACATATGTACACTTCAATCACTTGAACTAAAGTTTAACATGACAAATTCTAATTGTAAATCTATAGATGCTTACAAATCTGATGAGAAAGAAAGCTCAAGCTCGGACGATTCATCATTTAGTTTACATGACACATCGTCCGAGCTTGACTTTGAATCTCAATCAGATTAATTATTATAATGTTTATATATTTTTAAAGAATTTACTTAATTTTTATTTTATTTGTTTTAAAAAAGTTTGTTTACCTTTATTTGTTAGAATGTTTGTAATGTTTTTATTTCAATATATTTTTTTTAAATAATTTGAGTATTTTTGACCATTTTTTTGAAAAAAACAAGGACCTCTGTTTTTTTCTAAAAAAAACATTTTTTTTTGAAAAAAAACAAGACTGTTTTTTTTCAGTGACAACACTACTTATGATTAATAGAAATTGAAGAAAGATGTAAGTCGGTAGGGTTGGTTTGACTAGTTTTACGGGGAGAATGACAAACATTGACACGCTTTGGGTTATTAGTGGAGCTGCGGTTATCCTGCGTTCGCTTATAGCACTTTTCAATAGTATGGCCTGGCACTTTACAATATCTACAATAAAAGCCGCTTGTGCCGGATGTAGACGGATTTGAGACGGAAGGTTGTCCACATTTATAGCACCGAAATGAGTCTGACATCGGTCGTTTTTGTTGAGTAGTTAAATTAGAATTAGAGTAATTTTGATTATAAGTTGTACTGGCGTGTAAAATACCCCGCGGTTTTGTCTGAATATTTGCTAGTTGAATCATTAACGAGTTAGGACTCAAATGACCGGACTGCATAATTTGTGAACGCAAAACAGAATCTTTAATACCGAAACAAATTAAACTCACGGTTTGTTCATCGTTTAGAATTAAGCGAGTGGAAATAAGTTTTTGCAATTTAGCTCGCCCATAGGCGCCATAGCTAGCACAACCGTCAGAATTAAAATTAATAGCGTCAAAAACTAATTTAGCAAAATCGGCAGTGCCGGCAAAACTAATACAAATATCGCGCTTTAAATTGCCCCAAGTACGTTGATCTATCGCCTGCCTGATCACCTGCCTCACCGGTAAAACAATTAGAAATGGGGTAGTTAAATTTTTTCTGACCTATACTTTTTATGGTTTTATTCAAGGCGTTTTGTAATTTTAAACATCTTTGTTAAATGGGAATTTCAATTAAGTTTACCGTTTTCGAGATATTTACAAAAAAAGTCTCCTAATTACGTCACTAGGCTATTGACAACGTTGCCAGCTTTTTCTATGGTGTTTAGTTTAAGATTCTTACGATAGATGGCGCCACGTTATAATATTTTAGTTTTAAAACTACTTGATCTAAAATTTTAGTTGAGAAGAAGAAGAAGAATTGATTTTTTGACGTTTCTTTTTTTCGGGTTATGTTTTTTTTTAAATTTAGATTATTGAAAATCAATGTTATTGTTATGTTATTTGTAATTGATATTAGATAAGTGATTTATTAATAACGGACTCCAAAGCAGAGGAATCTTGTGGAATGGTTGGTTACATTGAACATTGGAGCTTTTAAACAAATAAAGTAAGTACCTATAATTATAATCATATTTTGTCGTAAATGCATTTCATTAGTATAATGCCTAGTTCTTTATATTTTTTTAGATATATCTTGGACTCTAAAATATCAAACAGTAATATGATACCTCGTAATAAGGAAGATAGGTACTTAATGAATTTGATGACCATCTGTTTGAATAATTTTAATCAAAATGTCTATATGTAGACCCTGCACTATCTTTACCTACCATGTACGTTGTAGAATTGTCGAAAAGTACAAAAATGTACTCTAGAGCATAGTATCTTCAAACACTCCAAAAGTTTGTCATACATTTTTTTAATCTTACAAAAGGTTTTGATGCTCATCATCAGGGATGCAAGTTTTATAAAAACTATACACAAATATCATAAATACCATTGTTGACTTACATTTACTGTTATTTTTTGTAAATTTATTTCATTCATTTTCAGCTTTATTTTGCCACTTTTTTCTATGAAATATATTAAACTCTGCTTTAGACAGTTATTGGGTCCCTATTTATTACATTTTATTAGGTTTCATACGGTGTTTCAATGTGCAAACCTATCAATAAAACTTTTAATTTCAGAATTTTCTTTAACCTCCTCTTCTTCTTCTTTCACTCAACTGACAGTGACAGTATTTGTACATAACCTCTTCGGGTATTTTCTGACATAACCGAATGAAATCATTAACAAGACAACTTGACAACAGGGTAATTTTCAACCAATAGAAATCTTAGAATGTTGGTCACATGGCGAGGTTTGTGACGTCATAAAAGTGTATATTTTTTGTAAATATTTTGAAAACGGTAAACTCAATTGAAATTCTGATTTCACAGAAATGTTTAATATTACAAAACGCCTTGAATAAAACCATAAAAAGTATAGGTCAGAAAAAATTTAACTACCCCATTCGAGATAGTAAAACGGTGTCGCTCCATACCAATTCTACGGCCAAAGCGGAAATATCATCGGTCCAACGTTTAGGATCATCGCAACCCGGAATAAATGTGGGTAGAGAAATAGGAAATAAGTCTGGTGAAGCAGAAGGATTGGCCCGTTGGTCCATTTTCTCAAAAAATCGGCAAAATAATGTCTCCAAGTTGGGTGTGGTCAAAGCTGGGCAGCCGCCATTGTTGTCGCTTGCATCAGCTTTTTACTACCTCCTAAATCTTCGGCACTAGACATTTTCAGTCCATAAAATCACAGTTACACACAGTATTTCGTTAAATGCACTTATTTGTGACCGTATTTTTTTGTTTTTTTATCTCACTTCTGATGTTATAATTTTGTTTAAGTTTACGTGTAGCTTTGTCAAGGCTCAGAGCTGTTCTGGCTTCGTTGTCCGCCAGATGGCTCTTTGGACTTGAAAGTAAGCTTGTTATGCAACACACAAAACATTCATCACATTCATTTATACGACAACAGATGGCGTCTAGTGTATTAAACTTTATTATTATTTACAAATAAAACATTAGGTATAATATACACTAACGCTAACAAACACATTCATTGTAATTTGCACTCGATACTTCTTCAGTCCTTGAGCGATACTAATATATCTTGAAAATATTTTAAACATTTTTTTTCAAAATATTTTTTTATTTAAAGCATCGGAACCCAAAGTTAGCGATTTAACATTACATATTTTTAAGTTCCTCACATCAATGTCCCCATCGATGGTGTATTTTAAACCATTAGTACAGCTTGGTGCGGTTAATGTTCGATATTTTCTTTGTTTGTTATCAGCTGCTGACTGACCAAACTTGTTAAGAGGCATTGCTAAAATAAATATTCTTTTAAAAATATTTAATATGCAGCTCCAGCTTCTTTTAACTCATAAATAATTGATGTAATTTCATTATCATGCGATGTGTTGCCAGCATCCTTGGATGCAACTAATAACTTTAATCTATCGACTAGTTCGTTTAAGTCATCCCAATATATATATTCGATCGGTTTATTGTTGTATTAAATAAATCATTTTTATTTTTATATTTGTAATAGCCAGTTCCGCTAGCAGATTTTTGTATCAATGGTTTTTTTATTTTACGATATTTATCTAAACCAGTTCCTCTTGGTACACCTGTTGATTCAAAGTTTCGTTTATGCACATTTGTTAATTGTAAAATTTCCCCGTAGTTTTGCATATCCTCTTCAGAATAATTCGATGGATTTTTTAAAAATATAATAATAATAATAATAATAATGTCTTTATTGATTGTAAAAAACTTATTACAAACAAAAGTTCAGTACCCTACACTAGGTAGTTCACTGCTCTTCCACTTAATATGAATTCATATAAACCTTCAGTCCCCTTATAAATGTTATTTTCAACGCTGTGGCTCCCGTCCCGAGGCGGGACTTAAGTTCAGTCCCGATTGACGTCATAATTTTAAGATTTGTTATGTTATAATAAAATAATAATAATAATAAATTGTACCTGTATACATGTTAAGGGCACGTTAGTTACGTCATAAAACCAAACCAACCCAAACTCAACAACACAACCCAACCGACCCCGCCCCATTGGGCCCCCCCCCCGCCCCATTGAGCAAAAAACCCAACTAAAATGGGCAAATTTATGTTACGATAAAAATAAAACACTTTTTAACAAAGAAACAACAAATTTATAAAATAAAAAAAAATAATAAAAGTTTGACAACTTCTAGTAGAATCGAACCCGGTACCTCTCGCATGCCAAGCGACCGCCCTACCATCTAAGCCATCCAGCTTGACACCAATTATAAAAGCTCGGGGAATAAAAACGGATTTACAGTGTGTGACGTCTGTCGGGATCAAAGTTAAGTCCCGCCTCGGGACGGGAGCCACATCGTATTTTCAATAGTAAAATCACTATTATCAATAAATTTTATAACACTTCTTCCAATTAACCATTTATTTAATATAGGGTCTTAAGTAACACCATATGTTGTATCAAAAACTTTTTTGTTACCATCATTTAAAAAATCTCTTAAATATTGACGAGTTAATTCTGGATAATTAGCAAGGTATTCACTATTTAATTATATATTTTTGTTCACCACTTATGCACCTTTGGCATTATCAAAATCATCCTCACTAGTTTCAAAATCTTCATCATCAGCAGCACCAGTAGCAGGACCAGCAGCAGCATTATCAACACCATCATCATTCTCATATTCCGTGGGGATTTTATTTACTTTTTTATATTTAGTTTTCTTTTTAACTAAAGCTTTCTGCTTTACAAATTCTTTTATTGGCATGGTTATAGATTTAAATATTATTTCTAATGTAGCAACATTTTCAGCTTTTCCCAATTTAAGAGCCAAATGTTTATTTCGTATGCCCTGAGCTAACTCATTTATCTTTTGTTTAATTTTAGCATCCGATGTTAAACCTGCTGTTGTTGGGGGTACCATGATAAACTGTGTGATATCACAACACATCTTTAATCAAAGTTTTTTACAATAACAAAACACCCGAAATTCTCTTGCCAACATTTCGAGCATATATATTTAATTATAATATATAATTAATTAATATTGGATAAAAGCGCAGAAACTGGACTATTCCTACTAGAAAACACGTCTATTTTTCGCAAGGCATTCCAAAGTTGTGTTACTAGTATTACCATGGTGATTAAGAAAATCTTTTTTTTCCTTTGTAATGAACCATTAGTAATTCACCACACGTTTACTGCAAGACGTAGTACATCCACCAGCCAACAGATGCCGTACCATGTACTAAAACGCACATACTTTTACACATATACAAATCATTTTTAACTTGGACTGTTTTCATTTCGTGGGGTTAAGACAGGGGAAGTGGTCTCACGCGGAAGCGGGCATTGAGGCGCTTTCGTCAGCTGCAATGCCGGTTAAAAAAACATATTTTTGTCCCTATTTGGGAAGTATAATAAATACTTTTTAATAAATTGTATATAAAGTGTATAAAAAAAGCATTTAACAATAATAAACACACAAAATGATGATATTTTAGATTTTATAATGGTATATTTATAAAAGCAAGAATTTGGCAACATTGTATTTTGATCAGGATTATCGTATCATATCCAAAAGGTTTTTATGATAGATATATAAATATGTAGATGCTTTTTATATTTATCCATTTTGTTTGTTTTTCTGTTGTATACCAATTGTCCATTGTTTTTACGAAATTTTTTGTGGCTTTTACATAGTGACTTATGAACTGACCAGGCGCATAAGGTAAAATGATACGCCAAATCAGCAAATTTACCCTAAAAACAAGGTCATCTATACAAAATATAGCGAATAGGCGGTATATATGTGTGTATGTACTAAACTGTATGTATGTACTAAAACGAGTAATTTTGGCATTTAGTGAAGCGGCGATGTTGTTTTTACAGTATTCCTTTTCACGATTTTTAGCTATAAAAGGCTGAATTGGACTGTCCAATTTGGACAAGAACCCATACCAAGACTTAAATGCATAAAGATTATTTCCTGGTGATATAAAACAGTAGATTAACCTGTGGCTGTTATGCTTGGGCTTTTATGCCGTATTTAACCTATTTGTAAATCGTGCCATCCGTCCTGTCATTTATAATAATATTAATAATAATAATAACATTTATTGCGCCCCCAGGGGCACACCCTTGTTGGGTATAGCGAACCCGGGGTACCCGAGCTAAGCCCGCCTCCGGGCCATTGGGGGATATGGGAGGAAATCCAGAAAAAAAAAACCGATCATGGAAGAAACTACAGGATCGAAACTTACGGTGCAGGGGGTCGGATCCCCAGTACCGGCGGCTAAGAGTGAGCATTATATAGAAAATTTTATTTGGTTTAATAGGAAATGTCAAAAGCATTAAAAAAATTAAAGACGGTTTATTAGTTGAATGTACTTCATCAAAGCAAGCTAAAAAATTACTTAATCTTGTTAGATTTGGCGATTACAATGTTAATGTGCTACCATATAAAACCCTTAATACTTGCAAAGGAGTGATCTACTGTCCAGACCTTCTTAATTGTTCTGTGGAGGAAATAAGCAATTGTTTGGAAGATCAGGGAGTAGTTGAAGTTAAGAGGGTAAGCAGAAAGAAAGATGGCAAAACCGTCGAAACTGCCAGTCATATCTTGACTTTCGAAAAATCTTATCTTCCAAAGTATGTTACAGCTGCCTTTTATCGTTCAGAAGTTAGACCTTATATGCCCAATCCTCTGCGGTGTTTCAAATGCCAAAAGTTTGGGCATGTTAGCGACAAATGCGAAAACGAAAGTATATGTGCATGTGGAAAACAGACCCATGAGGGTGAATGTGGAGAACCCACATGTGTTAACTGTGATGGATTACATTCTGCGAGGTCTAGAAAGTGCCCCATATTTTAAGAGGAAGCCCATCAAGATTTTAAAACATATATTCTTAATGTTTTTAATAAAATTTGGGTAAAAGGTCAATATCCAACCCTTTGGAGGGAAGCGCTCGTTATCCCCCTTCTAAAAGAAGGAAAAAATCCCACTAATCCAGGTTCATATCGTCCAATAAGCCTTACGTCATGTCTGAGCAAAGTCCTCGGTAAACAGAAGACTGGTCTGGTGTCTGAAAAGAAATAGACAGATTTCAAAATGTCAGTCTGGTTTCCGTACCGGAAGATCGACTTTGGACAATTTGGTTTATCTGGAACAGGCAATCCAAACAGCCTTTAACAAAAGGCATCATCTTAGTGATGTTTTTTTTATATTGAGAAGGCTTATTACATGACGTGGAGGTATGGAATCTTGGAATCCCTTTACAGATGATATTACCGCGGCAACATGCCACTTTTTATCAAATCCTTTTTAAATAAGCGTCGTAAGTCTTATAGGTGAGTCAATTTCTAGTCTACGCTTTTTGGAGAACGGGGTCCCTCAAGGTTCCACCTTGTTCGCAATAGCAATTAATTCTATCTGTGATACTATATGTGTTAATGTGTACCGTTCAATATATAATAATAATAATAATAATAATAATAATAATAATAATAATAATAATAATAATAATAATAATAATAATAATAATAATAATAATAATAATAATAATAATAATAATAATAATAATAATAATAATAATAATAATAATCTTTATTGCCCAACAGATACAAGATCTAATAACAGGACAAAATATAAAAAGAAAATAAAATAAAATATATGGCAATTTTAGTTAACGATGATATCGCATTTTTTCTATCAGGACCTATTAGGTCCAACATAAATAATAAGTAGGGATGGGATTTTAGATATTTTACCTTTTTTTAATCGATGTAACTATTTGAAAACCAATAATGCCAAAATGTGTTTTAAAAGATTTTCTTTTATATGAACCTAACTTGTTTTCACCTTTTTTACCTTTTTTGGGGGTTTTTGCTTTAAACTACCTTTTTTATACTTTTGTTACCTATTTTTTTAACTTTTTTTCACCTTTTTTACCTTTTTTGAGGTTTTTGCTTTAAACTACCTTTTTATACTTTTGTTACATATTTTTTAATTTGTCAGTTTATTTTCACCTATTTGTTACCAATTTTTACGTACTTTTATTCATTTTATTTTTTTGTGTTCCTTTTAAATTTTGCGCCAATATTTTATCCAGGCGTGCAACTCAACGGTATAGAATTTTTTCTTATGGTTACAGACTGCAACAGTAACTTTCTTTACAGTTACCTTCTTTGTAGTGAGCGTATGTTCTGTCATAGAAATTCTGTGTAGTGAGTTTCACTCAGTGAAACACAGTTTATTGCATAGAAATAATTTATTGTTGATATGTTCTGTGTTTGGGTATGCGGCTAAACAAAATTATAAACGAAACTTTTAATGTTTTTTTTTACCTAAAATGCTGTTTTTTTTTAACCTAAAATGCTTTTTTAGTACCTTTTTAGTTACCTATTTTTCAGTTTTTAGTACCTAAATATCCCATCTTTAATAATAAGATGCAAAAGGCCATAAATCAGGTTGTCAAGGCAGGAGAGAAAAGAGGCTTTAAATTTTCTTTATCGAAATCTAAAATTATGCACTTCTGTCACCTAAGAACCCCTCACTACCGTCATCTTTTACTTATCAAAGATACCCCAATAGAATGGGTCCCCCAGTTAAGGTACCTGGGACTCGTATGGGATGCAACAAAAGCACTTAAAATTATTAAATGTTTAAGTAATACACGCTGGGGAGCAGATATGGATAATTTGACCGCCCTTTACAAATCACTAGTCCAGTCCAAGCTTGACTACGGCTCTGCCTCCAAATCTACTCTCCGACCCCTCATAACACGGGGATTCGGTTAGTCCTTGGAGCATTTCGTACCACGCCTTCCTGCAGTTTGCACGTAGAATCAGGCATTAAGGCTTTGGACAAAATAAGGGATCTTTTAGCACTTAATTATGTAGCCAAAATTGGAAAATGGGGTTCAGAAAATATAACCAGACCTTATATGACTGAAATTGCGGAAAGGCAGAGGAATGTTAGGAGAACCAGCTGATATATATATGTAATGTCAAGTAAGGTGTTGTTTTTAGTGCTCTATAGTTTTTGTTTAATATACCGAGATATACCGAAGCAGAATTAAAAAGACTTATATGATGATATTTAAGTCAGCAGCTACAAGTGAGTGCATAAATGAAATTCATATACAAATATAAAACTAGTTAAATGCCTAAAAATTGCATATAAACCTAATCAAGCAATAAACAAAAACGATAACAAAAACAACCTACACAAAAAAAATTAAAATTAAGATTAAAAACAAAAGTTAAAAGATCTGTTTTCGAACCATGGACGTCTGGCGTAGCGGGCTGGTGCGTTACCAGTGAGCCACGGACTTAATATAAAAACAAATTAAATCAATACATTCTTAACCGGTATGGCAAAAACCAACGATGACATTTTTAAGTTATTAGAAACTCTCATTACAAAGAACGATGAGATTATGAAACAAAACGACATATTAAAGGAAGAACTTAAAACAGAAATTAACTCACTAAAAACAGATCTTTCAACTGAAGTCAACTTACGAAAGGAAGAAAATATCGAACTAAAAAAGGAAAACACGATTTTAAAACAAAAAATTAAAAAAATTGAACAAATAGAAAAAAAATACAAATTAGTGGTATATGAATTAAAGGAACCAAAAGAGAAAAGAGAAGATATAAACAATTTTTTGGAGCTCATCAATCAAAAACTGGAACTTACCTGTACTTTCCAAGAACTAAGAGATTTTTATAGAATTGGAAAAATAATACCAGAAACATCGTCCAATCATATTAGAAGTAATAAACTACGAATTTAAATTAGAGATTTTAAAAAACGCAAAGAAGCTAAAAGGAACAGGTATTTCAATAAACAACGAATTAACTCCAGAGGACTATAACAACCAAAAACTACTACATAAATATCTAAAAAAGGCAAGAGAAAACAAAAAAGAGGCCAAAATAAAAAATAACATTTTATACGTAAATGGTGAAACATATACATTGGACGACCTACTTAAAGAAGACAACGAAATATACATTACATCCGCAAACCCCGAAGAAAATTCCAATAAGGTTCAACACCCACACACGTTGAAAAAACAGCAACTCAAAAAAAAGAATATATATTGAACGAAAACTCGGATGAAGAACCTCCCCAAAAAAGAAGTACGAGAAATAAAAAAGGAATATTGAATTAATAAAAAATTCAAATTAGCTTTTTTAATCTTCTTTTATTAGTTTGTAATCTTCTTTCATAACCTTTACATCTTTTTTCATTATATACATATTTTTAAACATATTTTTTAAAATATTTACACCTTTTTCTGTTTATATATTTAATGAATTTTAATTAGTGTACGACTTGATATAATCTGTATAACTTAGTTTTGGTTTTGTCTTTTACATGTAATTGTGTTTTTATGTGTTAGATTAGTTTTTTCGCTTTTAAAATTATTTATATATATTTAGCTTGTTTTTAGATAGGTAACTGTACTGTAATTTTAAATTTTTATAACTCCTGCTATATATTTATACTCTCTGTTTATTGTTTTATACTCTATATTATTAGTCATAGTTTTAGGTTAATTTATATCTCATTTAAATATATTTATATATTTTTAGCTTGTTTTTAGATAGGTAACTGTAACATACATTTACTTTATTATGAAACACTCTCGAGTTAGTTGAGTCAGCCTTAGGAGTTTGTTATGTAACAGAGAGGAGATATCAAATGTGCGGTCTAGAGGAGTCATTCGTATTTGTATTGTTGAAGAGTACACACAAGTTTAGTTAAATTATACATTAATTAGTATTTTGTTCATAAATATATATATTATATTGGAAGTGCGTGAGTAGAGACACTATGTATGTTCTCAACCGGAAGTGACCCAGACGCTACGTGACGTCAGCAGTAGGCAGTTCTCGATGGTGGCGCCCCCCTGGTGGGGTGGTGGGGGGTGATCATATTAGCTATTGGTGGGCAGCCATTTGGGCAACGCCCTCAACTGATAAGCGTAAGTGAGCCTATTGGTGGGTTCTTGGCGGATGGCGGCTGGCGGATGGCGGCCATGTTTGATAGATATTAGCTATTGGTGGATGGGCGTTCCCCTTAGGTGTTGTGGTTGGTTGTGGGCGGGGGATGTGTGTTTAGTTGGCATTACTGGAGATGCAAAAGATAAGCGATATGCATATTGGTTGTTTGTGGTTAGCGTATTACTTTGGTATTACTGGAGATGCAAAAGATAAGCGATATGCATTTGCTGACGATGGGTGTGACTTAACAGTGGTTTGATATCCGGGGGGAGATAAGGATTTATTATTATTTTGTTGTAAATTTTATTTTTGACGCCATTTTGAATTGCTGGATCCCCCGACTTGTCCCGACTTGTTGTTCGGCAAGTTTCGGGGGTTTTAATGCGGTGTGGTATCAGTTATTTGGAGATAAGGATTTATTATTATTTTAGAAAAACGCAGAGAAGCGAACATTTTTAACATGGGTAGATTGGAACATCGGGAGCCTTTTTAAACGTTCAGTCTCCCGTCCGACCTTATAATAACAACATTTTAAACAGGAGAACATATAATATCATAGGTATTACTAAAAAATGATTAGTGTAAAGGAAATTGAAAAGGCAATCCAAAATATTGATAAATTTTTGGAAGAATGTAGTCAAAAAAAAATTTGAAAATAAATATCCTACTCGACAGGAAATATATCGAGAATTTTTGGAAAAGGAAAAAATTAAAAAATGGACCAGTCAAAAAGAATTTTTGGAGCAACATCTTAATGCTAATGTTGTAAAAACCCAATATGGTAAACATTTTGAGTCGTGCCCCTGGTCAAATTCAGATGAAGGTCCTGATACATGCCCATGCTGTATGGTTTCATTTTATACGAAAGAAGCTAACGAGGTGTTAAATAAGTTACCAAAAATAACATGCTGTTGTAAAATTAATTAAATAAATTCCCTAGCAAAACTATTTTTGATTCAGTTCGTTTTATTTTTTTCAACAGCCTGAAAAACTACCTATAACTAATTTAGATTTATTTGAAGGTAGTTCTGATGTCAGTAAACATGGTAATTTACTGCCAAATTCCTTTAGAGCAATTTTTTGTGGTCCTAGTGGATGTGGTAAAACAAATGCCCTATTAAGTTTAATATTTAATCCTAATGGAGCTAAGTTTGAAAATATTTACGTTTATTCAAAATCACTTTTCCAACCAAAATATCAACTATTACAAAATGTTTTAAGGAAAGTAAAAGGTGTGGGGTATTTTTCATATAAAGATAATGATAAAATAATTGAAGCTGTGAAAGCTCGAAATAATTCAATTTTTATATTGATGACGTAGCTTGTGATAAACAAAATAAAATACGTGAATACTATTAAATGTGTAGGCATAAAAACATAGATGCGGCCTACTTGTGTCAAACGTATTCAAAAATACCAAAACAATTAATACGTGATAATTGCAATGTTATTGTGCTATTTAGGCAGGATGATATAAATTTAAAACATGTATTTGATGAGCATGTCTCACCTGATATGCCTTATGATCAGTTTAAGAAAATATGTTCGGAATGCTGGAATGAGAATTATGGTTGTTTAGCTATCATAAAAGATTTTCGTTTAAACAATGGACGCTATCGAAAGGGGTTTGATAAATATATAAATATGCAAAATACGTAAATTTAACATCATTTGTTATCATGGCAGCATCGACTTCCAATGTAACAAAAAAAATTAATGAACTCTCTCGAAATATTAGAAAAAAATATTTAGCTCTTAAATTGGGAAAATCGGAAACAGATGTTGCATTAAATAAATTATTTAAACCCATAACAAAACCAATAAAAGAACTCGTAAAAAAGAAAATTAAAAAAGAAAAAAATGAATTAAAGAATGAGCCAAAAGATGAATCAAAAGATGAAAAATTAAAAACCACCCTCGAACATGGGGATGATGATGATGATGATGATGATGATGGTGATGATTATGATGATGATGTGCATGATGGTGATATCTCTTTACCTACAAATATGGACTACCTCAATAATTACCCAAAATTAGCTCGTCAATATTTAAATGAATATATAAATGGTGGTAATAAAAAAGATTTTGATATAACATATGGGGTGACTTATAATCCCTCATTAAATCAATGGTTAATTGGAAAAAGTGTTATAGAGTTTGATGAAAATAGCAATTTTATTATTGAAAATCAGAAATTTAAGGGGACTGAAGGTTTATATGAATTAATATTTAAAAAGTACCCCAAAAATTATTCTAAAGAAGAGGATGTGCAAAACTACAAAAAAAATTTATTATTAACAAATGTACATAAACGAGATTTTGAACCAACAGGTGTAATAAAAGGAACTAATTTAAAAAAATATCGAACGATAATAAAGCCATTAATAAAACATAAAGCTGTTAGCGGAAGTGGTTATCGCAAGCCACATTTTAATATTTTGACCTATAACAATAAACCCATAGAATATATTTATTGGGATAATATTAATGAGATAGTTGAAAGATTAAAATTATTAGTGGCCTCCAAGGATGCTGGAAATACCTCGAATGATAATGAAATTACGGCAATTATCAATGAACTCAAAGAGGCCGGTGTTATATATTAATAAACACTGTTTTTTTATTTTTTAGTTTAGCAATGCCGCTTAACAAGTTCGTCAATCTCTAGACCAATCCAATCAAAATTCATTATTGTCAAAATTACAGTATGGCAGCAATGTACTAAAATATACTCCCGATGGTAATATTGACGTAGAAAACCTAAAAATATGTAATGTGAAATCACCAACTTTAAATGCAGATGCTACTAATATAGGTTATGTTGATCAAATATATGCAAATTTTTATGCTGATACAATAAAATCACTTAGTAAATTTGAACAAGAGACATTAAAAGCACTCAAGCAATCGGATGCAAAAATAAAAAAGGAAATTGAAAACCTCGATAGTAAAAAACAAGATAAATTAAAAATTAATTTAAATAAAGAACTAGCTATTTTAACGCAAAATACCGATGAGTTAAAAGAGCAAATTAAAGAACTTAATAAACAAAAAACAATGATTTGAATTCTTTAAAGAATATTTCAAGATCGCATGTAAATGCACGTAATGACTTGGATAGGCAAATTAAATTCCTTCAACAGACTCAAGATGTGAACTTAAAGGATATAAAACAGCAAAATGAACAAAACATTATAGATTTTAAAAAGCAAATCAAAGATCTTAATACAGCTTTAAAGTCTCTGGATACAAACGTGAAAAATGAACATTATAGATTTATTATTTGAGGACGTCAAAAAAAACAAATCCTCAATCAATGATATGGAGAAAAATATATTAAAAGTGATTACAGTGGCTGCTGGTGCTAGTACTCACTCTTCCACCACACCAAGGAAAAAATTAAACTTGTTAATGAACTTCATAGACCTATAAGAAAAAATTTTAAACGTCGAAAAACAATTATTAAGGGCATTGATGACCTTTGGCAATCAGACTTAGGGCAGATGGACATGTATGCATCAAATAATAAAAATTTTAAGTTCATATTGATTGTTATTGACTGTTTTTCAAAGTATTTATGGGCTAAACCATTAAAAAATAAATCTGGGGAAGAAGTTACAAAAGCTTTTAATTTAATATTGAAAGAAAAATGTCCACAAAACTTGCAGACTGATCAGGGCAAGGAATTTTTTAATAGTAAGTTTAATGAACTTATGCAAAAATATTCAATAAATCACTATAATACATTTAGTTGTAAAAAAGCTGCAATCGCTGAGCGTGTTATAAGGACTGTAAAAGAACGTCTATTTAAATAGTTTAGTTTAAATGGGTCATATAAAAGGGTTGATATATTGCCACAAATTGTTTCAAATTATAATAATACAAAACATAGAACAATTAATATGAAACCAATTGATGTTTGTAAAGAAAATGAAAAAAAAGTTTTAAAGTTTGCATTTACACATTTAAAATTAGCAACCAAACCTAAAAAGTTTTTCATTGGTGATATAGTGAGAATAAGTAAAGTAAAACATGTTTTTGATAAAGGATATACTCCCAATTGGACTAGAGAATTGTTTAAAATTGTAAAAGTA